GTGCCTCTGGAGATCTCCTCACAGATGGGATGATAAAAAAGGTGCCTGACAGGAAGGAGGGGGAGTAAGGCTCCTGTTCTAAACTGTGACAAAACACACTGAGACCTTTACTCTCTTTTTGTTTGAATCAGCTGCTGACCAGACGACCTGGAGGAGAGTCAAAGGGGAGCAGCGAGACAAAGCACACAGGAGCAGGTAAAAATCAAAGTCAATTAGTTCTCATTGTTTGTGATGAATTACCTCCAGGATACAAATCAGCAAAAATCAGGGAGGAAACACATCAGCAACAAGAAACACTTAAAAGTACACATGATTCAAGATTCAAAAAACTTTATTGTCTATCACATTGTGACAGAAAAATTATACATCCTCTGTCCAATTGAGTTTAAGTGTTTTAAACATTCAGACACTCTGACAGCAAAGACTTTTATGTAATATTGTTGAACACATCATAAACTACATAGATGTTCTACTATAAGATCATTTTCTATATGAACATTTTTTACATGATTATTATTTTTGTCTCACTTAAGCATATTATTGAATATTAGTTACTGTTCTTTCTTATTTGTTAAGACGAGACGCAGAGATACACTCAAAACAAAATGTGCATTCCTCTTTTTATTATGATCCTTTGAATTTGGTCTTGGGTGGTAAAGATCTCCAGATGACAAAAAAAAATTGATTTATTGAAAAATCTTTGACTGGCAGCATTAAGCTTTGTTGTTAAGGACGCTTCTACATATAAACTATAAAACAAACATTCCCCTCACAGCCACAGCCAGGTTACAGGCACTAGATCTATCCATGTAAATAATATGGTGCATAAGAACAGAAAAAAAGATTTACTTGATAGATGGAGTCATCATGAAAGCTCCACCTCTCCTTCAGGAAAACTGAGGGTGAAATGATATATTTGTTCTGCTGATGGCTTTAACTGAACGCTTAAAAAGGTAAAGGTGCACCATGTCAGCTAGTTTATCCTCATAAATCTATTTATTTTTGTTCTGTTAGAAAAAACTCTGACACAGTGAGTGGAGAGGAAAAGTAAAGTACAGACAAATGAGATCCATAATTCACTGACAATGACATTTAATGTTTTGCTGCTTGACCAGGACACTCTTGAAAAAGACATTTTTAATCTCAATGAGTTTCTTTCCTGGTTAAATAAAATAAAACTATTATTTGTGCTTGTTATATTTTTTTGTTGTCCTCAGTGAGTCCAAAAATATGCTGTCTTGCAGAAGCTGCCAAACCAGTTCTCCCACTGAATTAATTAGAGAAGTTACTGTGGCTGTTTCCTCCACACTTCCTTTGAAAGCCTGCCCAGGTTCACTCAACATGTCACAATCAACACAGTTTATAGAAAGCAGTGAACTATGTCGCCTTCCATTATCTTAAACGTGCATTTTGAATGATACTATATGCTTTAGCTCAGAGGGGAACGTGTGTTTGCTGCTGCGGCTCCAAAACTCTGGAACGATAAACCACAGCATGTTAAACAGGCCTCTTCTTCTCTGCCTGTTTTTAAATCTCTTCTTAAGACCCATCTCTTTTCCCTTTGACACACAGTAAGACGTCGTCTTATTTATTTATTTGATTTCTTTTTGCGTGCCTATTCATTTGACTTATGTTTTATGTCTTTTAAATGGATTCTGTATTTCACATTAAGTCTTCTTTTATTTCATGTGAGCTGTTACGTATTTTATTTATTCTTCTGTACAGCACTTTGGCCAACTGTGGTTGTTTGCGTAACAAATAAAGTTGGATTGGATTGGGAGTATATTTACTGTATGGTAGTATGGTTATAGGATTTACAGAAAAATGTTAAAATCTGTTCTTAATCTGCACATATGTACACTGAGTGCTGATTACAGTCTGCTGGTGTTTGCTCCTTTTGTATAAATATGGACGTGTTGCCTTCTGCTCTGTGCACAGAAGCAGAACTTCAAAGAAAATAACTCTTTTCTCTTTGTGTCTGCTCTCACTCCCCCCTCTCTTTTCTCAGCACATTTTCTCAGGTTTCACAGTAAATCAATGGATGAAGTTGACTCCCAATGTGTCTACAATTATGCCGCCGTGTACTATGGCTTTTTATTCCTATGTGATGATGATGAATGCTCGTGTAGGAATAGAAGCCGTTTTACACGAGGCGAAAGGGCAACATGACAGCTGGCGGACGTAGTCACTAAACCTGCAGGACAGTTCTCATGCTAACTAACACATTGTTGGATAAATGTAAACTGTCTTCTGTTCAAGGTTTCCCTGTTGTAAAGATGTATTTATGCTAATTTTTCCACATTATCACTGATGTGCTGATCCAAAAGAAGAAAAAACGTTGTTGTGTGTGCACCTGTTTTTCGCCTCCGGGCACACAAGCAGCTTCCACCGCTCGCAGTGTTTGATGCGTTCGGTGACAGCTCCGGTCCACAGGGACGGAAGTTGGAACATTTGCAAAAAAACTTGACGTGAACAAAAGAAAGAAAAAGAGCAAGAAGAATACCGATTCATATCTTTATTAACAACCTATTAAAGAGGCACTTAGTGAACCACTCAAACAGCTTTTCAAGAGGCACTGCAGTTCCCTTTCTTCTCATTCTGATTCACTCTGCACATTATTAAAATAGAACTTTGACATGAAGCATGACACCAAAATAATCTACCTACACTTTTATACAATATAAGATACATACAGTATAAACAAGATGAAGCACCTTTTTGTTTGTTGTTCTAGTAAATACTCATCATAATGAAACAGTTGGAGTTACAGACACAGATGAGTGAGTTTGTGAATTGTGTGCGGTATTATCAGTGCATGGGAAGAACTCTGAATACAGGTCTTGGGACTGTGACATCCTCGTATGGACCTGAGTTTAAAAACAATGGAAGCTTTCCTAATCTTCTGTCGGCCCACATATGAAGTACTTGGATGGTTTTGACACAGTATCTTGAACAAACTACAGAGAAGCAGTAAAAAACAGTTGGATGAATGTACTGTAATCGCTACAGATCTCACGTTCCCTTCCGAGGACATTGGTATTCACATTACAATCGAACACAATGTAGCACCAGGAAATGTTTATACAAAAAGGCTAATATGATGAATTGTCAATGCATTACAGTAAAGTTAAAAAAAAAAAAAAAAGAATACAAAATGTAATATGTCAAAAGCATGTACTGAAGGTGCACAGACGATAGTCCAGGTCAGTTTGAAGATGTCATTTGGTCCTTTTTTAGCAGAAAGACTGAAACTAATAAGATCATGTTGTGAATGCAAAATAAACATGCATTTCTTTAAAGAGAATGTTTTAGATGTGTTTTCAAGTATTTCTTTTTTTTCTTTCCTCAAGGTAAATGAATTAGAATCTGTGAAGTGGATGATATCCAACAAAGACAAAAAAAAAAGAAAAAGACCAATGATTTTTCCAACCGGCATATTCATCTTTGATCCATAAATTCATATCTGCCGTTCGTCCTCACATTTGTGTAATAAAAAACACATGTACAAAGAAGACATTAAAGTGACTACGTAAGACTTACAGATAGCGTTTCACAGAAAAGAGCTGTGCAATCTTATTCACCATAATGAATTTAAAACATTTATAACTGTGAAATATACAGTCCCTTATTCACAGATCCATCTCCCCCCTTTCAGTTAATAGATTCTGACGTGTCCTTCCTTAAAGGAATCTTAAAGCTTGTGAGTTTTTGGCCAAACAGCTGGCTTAGGAGGTGGTTCTGGGACTCGGCGGTCCTGTAGGAGTGGCTCTCCATTGACCGAACCCCCATTTTCGGCCTTGATTTATTCAAAGAATTGTTAATGGGGACTGAAGTCATTTTAGAAATAGGGGGATGCAGAGGACGCCCCAAAGGTCCCTTTTTGGCTTTGAAGTCCCCGTTAAGAGGAGTCACAATCTCAGCTTTCTTACAACCGTCCAGCAAGCTTCTTTTAGACTGCAGGTTTGAACTCTTGCACTTGGAGACGATTTTGTTGCTAACAACATCGTCCCGCACCGAGGAAAGCACGGGGTAGTCATTGGGTCCGTCAGACTTTCTTTGCAGGGAGGGATTTGCACACTTGCTTGTGCGAAATTTCTTCTTGGCCCTGGAATCGACACCAAAGTTCTCCTGTGTAGCTGGAGAGGAAACCCTCTGCAGACCGTGGGGGGATTTCATGTCTTTCCTCTTCTTCTGTGGTCTCACAGATTCTTTGTCCTCGTTCAACACTAAAGCATTGGGGGGACTCTTGGAGTGGAGGGCGGGCGTTGAATCTGAAGCCTTTGTACCGCTTGTTGTTGTAGTAGTGTAGTTTTTAGTGTTGTCGGTCATTTTGGCTGGAGTGATTTTGTCTTTTGTGTGACTGCTACATTCCTGCTCAGCACCTTGAGATAAAGTCAGCTGTTTGCTGTCAGTATTTGAAACTTTTGTCGGGTGATGCTCGTCATCCCTCTGCTGCTCAGTGACATCAGCAGCTTTGTCATTCTTTGCCGACTCAGGCGTCGTTTGATTGTCCTTTAAGCTGACAAAACAGTCGTCACCGGGAGGTAGTGAACCTGCTTTTTCTGGCTCAGCTGTGTCACTTTCATCGGAGCCTTCCTTAACTCTAACAGCCTCCTCCTCCTCCGCACAAATATTCTCTCTCGACACCGACCATGAGGTCGTCTCTGCTCTAATGCAGACTGACTCATCCTCCTCTTTCACATCATACGGTTCAGCAATTGATTTTCCATTACCCTCTTTATCGAGAATGGGTGAGGTGTTTGGGTCAATTTCCTCTTTCTTTGGTGAAGCAGACTCTGAAGAGCTGCTGTGAATACACTTCTCAAGTTCTACAAGCAGTTCAGAGTAGTCCTCAGCCGTGTCCTCGGTCTTCACGTTTGGACTGTTTGTGTCACTGTGGTACTCGTTGGATACGGTCTGTGTGGAGTCGTCCGCTGTGGACGCAGAGACTTTTGAAGATGCTGTTTCTGAGTTTTGACTTAAGTGCAGGGAGCTGACGCTGGCGATGCCGCTGTCTGAACTGTTTTCCTGCAGACTGTCGGAGAGAATCCTCCTCTTCTTACTCGCCGGAGAGTCGCATTCATCTTCTTTGGCAGCGGACGCTTTGACTGGTCTGTAAACACCTCTGAATTTAAAGATTTTGTTCCCGCCCGACAGGTGTTTCTCCATGTGTCGATCAAACTGCTCCTTCTTGGAGAAGGTGTAGTTACAGGTGCTGCAGATGAAGGATTTCTTAATCACATGCATGACGTCGGCGCAGAGCTCACAGGTGTAGAGCGTGGTGTGTTTTGAATCAAGCTCATCCACCTCCTCGTGCGCCCTCTTCAGGTGGCCTTTGAGCTCCTGGGCCTCCTGATAAGAGACGGGACATTTGTGACACAGGAAGATCTTTTCCAAATTGTGAACCACTAAATGTCTTTGGAGTTTAAACGGCTTGGGGAATTGTTTCCCGCAGTGGTGGCAGTCTCTCGAGGGGTCTTTGCAGTTGGGATGCATCTCAACACTTTTAGGTGTCTCTGTTTTGTGGAGGACCTCGAGTGGGGTTAATGTGTTCTGCTTCCCGCCTGCTCCGCTGCTACTTTTACTTTTGGGAACTCTTGGCTCAGCCCCCTCTGAGTGTTTCGCCCCTCCCACTGCAGTGCTATCTGCAGCAGCAACTTTTTCCTGTTCTTTGGTAGCTCTGCTGGACTCTCTGTTGGCTTTGCTGGGGCGGTGCTGCATGATTGAGGTGATGAAGTTCTTCACGGCCGTCTCCTGCATGAAGCAGCCGGGAATGCCCAACATGGAGCCCTGGGTTTGACCTCTCCGGGCGAACTGAGTGGCATGCTCTCGCAAGTGTTCATTGTACATCCACACGTCTGATATCTCCTTCAAGCACATTCCACAGGTCCAGATACCCGTCTTGTTCTTGGCATGTTTCTCCCTCAGGTGGTCCCTCAGCTGCTCCCTGGAGCTGAACTTGCGTTGGACACACATGTAGCAGGTCGGAGGGGGGGAGGGGTTGTGGGAGAGTTTGTGAAAGTTCAGCTCGCCCAGGGTGAGGAACCAAGTGAAGCACACTTTGCATTTGTACTGCTTGTCTTTCACCTTCATCCTCCCGTCTTGCCTCTTCCTGCCTCGTCGCTCGGTTACTTTGTCAGATTTCTCTTCATCTCTGATTTCCTCGTCAACAGTTCCGATAGGCGGAGCCACTGTGATGTCTTTGTTGGGTTCAAAGAACTGAATCTCAGGAAGCTGAAATGTTGTGTTGATGTTCTGGATGTCGATGCTGTTGAAGGTTTGGACGTTGTCTGTGTTGCACGGCTCGACAGCGTAGGGGACGGAGGGCGGGGGCAGAGAGTAAGGTGCAACTGGGGCTTCTGGTTTGCATGTGCTGGGATTAGAGGGAATCACTGGGCCTGCATCAAAACCACTGAAGTCACTGGAGCCGCTCCATTCGATTGAAGATTTATCAATGGTGCTCTGAAGTGGATCTAAGAGGCCGAACTCTTTAGTGTTCTCACAAACATCCTGTTTGTCACTTTGTTGAACATCTGACAATGGTTTTGTGACGGCACTGTCAACAGGTTTGTCCTCGTATTCACAGCTCCTGGTCTGATTGACGGTGAACATTGGCTTGGCTTGGTTTTCCACGCATTGATCTTTATTGTGCATGAAAGTTTCAGAGGGAGGAACACTCGAATCAGGCGATAGTTTCTGCCTTTTACTTTTCTTGCCGTACACCCTGGGGCACTTTTTTCTCTTCGCCTCCTCGTCTCTGGGGAACAGCTGTGAGAACGTGGTGTCGTCGTCGAGCAGGGACTTCAGATCGGGACTCAAGCTGGAGGGAGGACTGAGAGGGGCAGGATTCAAACAGGCGACAGGATGTACCATGTCTGGAGGGCCACTCTTATTCTCACATTTTATCTCAACTGTCACTTTTCTCAGAATCTCTCGGGCGAGGATCTCTTGTGATTTTTTCTGTTCACACATTACTTCCACATTGCACAGAGACATTACAGACTCATCGTATTCTCTCATAATATCTTTTTCTACAGGTGCAGCACTTTCCAAAATTGCATCTGTACATACTTCCCCATTTGCCATCTCTGTTATGCTTTCTTGTGCATCAGTGATTTGATTAAGTGCCACAGTCCCATTAAGTACATTTAGTTCTTCTGTTGGGGCCTTTTTGACAAAGTTAACAGAAACAGAGTTGGGGAACGTCTCTGTTCCGGTTAAAGCTCGGTCAACGATTCCCACATGTTCCTTGGGAGATTTGTGTTGCTCTTGTATCCCGCTGCTTTTGAATTCAGGAGTTATAGCTTGAAGTATGTCTGTTTTTAATATATTCAAAAGCTCATCAGAGAACGGGTCTGGCTTTATGTTTGCCTCGCTGCTTTTGGTCTTCCTCGCCTTGTTGTTCTTGTTTGCTTTTTGAGGGTTTTGACGGCCTGTTTCATCCACCGCGACTGCACTCGTCTCAGATGCCATTTCCTCAAGGACCGACGCAGACTCTGCAGCTGTAGATATGAGAGTGCTTGTTGTCTCAGGCAGCCCGACTATTTTTGTTGGGCAACAGGTCTGTGAATCATCTTTATGTTCCTTCTCTGTAGTTTGCGATGCTTCATAAATAAGCACAGTCCCTTGATGGCTTGATGCTGTGCTCTGTGGGCCGATGTGTTTCACAGGTCTAACCGAATGTTTCATGGCTTTATGTCTTTTTAAACCTGGCACAGTCCTGAAACACATGAGGCAGATTTCACACATTACTTTCCCCTGTTGGGTGTTGTTTTGCGCCTTTTTGTGCGTCGTCTCTTTGGGTACTTGGTGCGTTGTTAAACACAGGCCGGACTCTCTTGTTGGAGGCTTCTCGGATGCGTCTGGCGCGAGAGGCATTAGTCCATTTTCACAGTTGATGATTGGCTTTGGATTGGGTGAAACTTCTGAAAGTGAATTGTCCTCAGCAAGAGAATCTAAAGTTTCCGCCTCAACCTTTTTCAAGATGACAGCATGAGTCTGCAAATGCTCAACAGAAGGTCCAACGGGAGTACCAGCTGAGGAGTCTTTGCCTTCGTTTTGAGGAGGAGGCAGACCCAATGGAAAACTTGTAAAGTCCAAACTCTGCTGGAGGACCAGTGGTTCATCTGATAAAGTCAGATTAGCTTCGGGGTCGGAGTTTAGCGATGCAGCTGTATCGGTGTCGGCTCCATTTTTGTGGAAAATCAGTGCAGGGTCAACACTCAGGACACATGGTTCACAGTCGTCTCTGGGACTCTGTTTGATGTTCTCTTCAAGTTTACTGGCCGGTGAAATTGCTATGTAGTTGTATTGATTTAATTGCGGCGGCTCGTCTGTGATGCTGATGTAGTTGAGGGGACTGAGTTTGAAGTCGTAAATTAGATCTCCCTTTCCGAGTTCGTCTGAGACACTTGATTGGTTTGCTGATCCGGGCACGGGCACTGGCAGTGGAGAAGAAATGTGGGTTTCAGAGCCAGGGATTTTACACTCAATTCCCAAGTCAAGGGGAGGCGGGATTATCAAAGAGTACTCCATCCCCGTTGTTGTATTTTGTTGTTTGTCATTGTTAACACCCTTTGTGCCATCTTCTTGGTTTATTGGGGATTTCATGTTTTGAACTGAGTTTTGGTCAACAGACATGTTACTGATATTGCTTTGTGAATGACATGAATCCTCTTCTCTGTCCCAGTCCTGCATGAGCCTCCGATCAGAGGTCGATAAAAGAGGACTTGCTGGTGTTGCGGTGTCGACAAAAAGACAGTCACTTTCCTCCACCTCTTCCCTGCATGGTGAGTTTTGGTGGCTTGCCATGAAATCGACAGGGAGATGCTCTTTGATATCCTGAACATCTAAAAGCTCCTCTTGTGTCTGAATGGTCTCAAAGGGAAGAGTGGTTTCAGGTTTGAGTGAAATCACTTTGCAGGAATCATCGTTATCGGACTGCGGAGCAACCAGCTGACCGGACCGGTCGTCCAGAAATGTTGAGCAGGGACTTTTGTTGTCTGTGTTTGTTTCCACAAGTATCGGACTGCAAGGCTGGTCTGAGGTGACGATCTCCATTGACACATCGATTGTTAGACTCGTGCTGTAGGTGTTAGCGGGGCTGCAGCTTTTAGAGGGAGACGATCCTATCAAATGATCTTGTTCACCTGTGTCAACAGTTATCTCCTCAATAACACTGACACCACTGTCACCAGAATTTGTTAAATCATCTGAGGAATCTGGATTGTTAGTGGATTGTTCTTCAAGTGACGACTCCATGATGTTTTTTGCGTTTTCACAAATGTCTCGACCGGTGGCGGGTAAAGCCTGTGATAAACGATGGCTCACAGATTGACCAGTAATTCCCTTCACCGCCTCTGCTACCTCATATTCATCCGTGGCTGCATGCTCTTGACCATCACTACTCTTCACATTGTCAGATGCATTACAGTTCCCGCCAGATCCATCCACCACATGTGGGTCAGGTGTCGCTGCACATAAACACAGAGCAGACTCAATTAAATCTCTGTTCTCGACTGTATCCTCCTCCGATGTGACTTTAGTCTCCTCCTTGCTATCGTTGTTTTCTGTGGACTCCCTCGGCTGTGATGAAATCGGCCGGTTTCCATCAACAGCGGGGTCAGCGCTGTTAGAGAGCGACAGCTGGGACTCATTCAGAATAAATTTAATATCATCCTTCCGTTCATTGATATTTGGAGGTGATAATGTACTCTCCTTCCCGGTAATTGCTTCTCTTTCACCGTCGTCTTCTTCTCTCTGAACCGCATCTTTTTCTTGACATTCAATTCCTTGATGTTGTTGACTTGTGAGAGAGGTGACATTTGGCTCCTCGTGTTCTGATATAATGGGCTCTTTTTTGAATATAGAGTCTGAAATCACCTCGAGGCTTTTCATGAGGTTTTCTGTGTATCTCTTCTGCTCCAAGATTTCCTCCTTTGTTTCTTTTTTAGCCCTTTTTTCCGCCTTCTGCTCCTCTGGTTTGTGGGCATGGCGTTGTTGTCGATTGAAAACTTGTGAGGCTGTTGCAATCAAATTCGGTGCATCATGTCCTTTTTCAGTAAAATGTTCAACCACCCCTCTGTCATCGCAAATTGGATTGTGGGGACTGCTTTGCCCGCCCATTAACTCGAACTGAAATGGACTGGCCCATGGTTCCGTAAAAGTCTCTGAAGGCAAACTGGCCTCTGGTGCTTCTATTGTTTGCACGGGGCAGCTCATATCCAGGCCAGCGGTTTCACTCCCTGACTCGTCGCTGAGACGTAAAGGTGAGAATTTGCTCATCTGCAGCTGCTTGGAGACACCCTCTGCTAGCAAGGGCGGGCTCTCCAGCCTCGTCGTCTGCAGCTGGTTCTCAAGCTCGTTCACTATTCTTTTTATCTCCAGCTCGTCCTCTGATGCACAGCTGTTGAGATTTGCACCGTAGTCAATTATTTTCTCTGGCAGAGACAAAGAAACATGATTATAATCTGCTTTCTTTTCATGCGACTTCCCAGAGCTGTCTTTGTACTGAGATATCTCATATGGTTGCACGGGGCTCACTATGAGGCTCCAGTCTTTTTGCTCCAGAAAGGGAGAGAAGGACGACACAAACTCCACCTTTTTGTCGTCTGTATTCTCCAATGAATGGAAACCGTCTTTCTGAATGGGCATGTCTGAGTAAAGGCCACTGTCGAATCCTCCGAGGTCCCCAAACATTGAAGACGTGTCAAAGGAGAGTGGGGATTTGATGAGCACTTGTTCCTGATCCAGGGGGTAGGGCATGAGGTGGAGTGTGTCTTTTTGTATGAACGGGCCTTGGCTTTCAGTTGGAGAGAGGCACACCTCGTCCATCAAAGAGGTGCAAAGAGTTCTCTGTGTGTCTTCTTTGTTGCATAAAGTTAGCGCTTCTTTCACCACACAGCTGCTGTCGCTCTGTTTTTCAGATGTGGCATCGTCTGATAGTTCTCTTCTTTTCTCCTTTGCCCTTCTGTCAATATTGAAATCACTTTCTTTGTCGATCATGGGAGTGTTTGAATTCACCTGTAGTGACTTTGTATCTGAACTGCTACACATCGTGGGTTCTTCTTTGGGGCTCAGACTGTGTGATCTCTGTGTGTTGACTCTATCTGAACTGACAGTATCTTCTTTGTAAGACTCGAGCTTCTCTCTTGATTTTGCTCTGTTGCATTTTTCAAGGTTTTTGTTCGTCTCTTTTGATTTTTGTGAGGATGGCACCGGATCATCACCTTCTAGATTTGAATGAAACTTCTTTGGATCCTCTGTGCTGCCTTTGCTATCAGGAGGAATTTCTTTGTTAGTGTTATACTTCTTGACAGATTTAGTGAACGTCAGCGAGAGCACGCTCGATTCTTTAGACGACTTCTTCGGGGAGGACTTTTCATAGGTTCTGTGCTCTGGAGACTCTTTCTTTTTGACTTCTGTCTTCCTCTCACAGTCCGAGTCAGTGCGGTCAGTGCTTTTGGGGCTGTTGATACAATCGCTCGAAACACTCACAGATGTGCTCAGTTCACTGCTTGTGGACGACCTGCTGCCCCTCCTCCTGAGTCTCTGGTGAGAACAGAGTTTCTCAGGCGAGAGAGAAACCTCCTCGCTTTTCTTCATCTCAAAACACTCTTTCGACTCGTGTCTCCACGCTGCCTGGTCCCTCTCGTTCCTCGCTCGCCATTTGCACTCTTTGGTGTATGTGTATTTACATCGACTGCTTTGATTCAGCCGCCCTTGGCTCGCTATCTTGACAGGTTCACACTCATCATCTGTGTCTGAGACGTAGTCGTACTCTCCAAACGCAGGGTTCTGCACAGTGGGAGTCAGCCTCTCCATCACCAGGGAGAACTGGAGGTTCTTGGTGCCTTTAACATGAAGTTTATGAAGCTTATTTTTCTGTTGAACTATTTTGTGAATAAGCTCTTTGCTCCAGGTGCCCCCTCCAGTGCTTTTCCTCTTGCTCTCCTTCACTGCAGTTCTTGAGATCGGCGATGTGGAAGGCTGTGAGGATGTTGACCCTCGAGGTGCATTGCTCTCCTGAATGCTTTTAACGCCACAACGCTTGGAAAACTTGCCAGACAAGAGAAACCTTTGTGCACTCGCGTTCTCTTCCTCACCCTTGCACAGTTTTCTTGACTCTTTCACTTTGCTGTCTTGTTCTCTCGTCTTCTCCCTCGAGGCGGTTCCTGAATTTTTATGAGAGACTTCCTTTTTGATGTTGATTTTCTCCTCTTTTTCTAAATTCAGAGTTATTTTCTCAAGTTTGCTTTCTGTGTTGTGTTTCTCTGTCTCCGGGCTCACAGCGTCAGAGTCATAGAAATACTTTCCCTGCGTGAACGACCTGGCATCATTTGCTACTTGTTTGTTTTTGCTCTCGTGGATCAGGGATTCTTTGGTTTTCATACATTGTTTGTTTGACGTCGCTTTAACAGTTGTGAGGTCGTCATCAGCGAATGCGTCGATAAAGCTGCTGTCAATCTCTGCATTGTCCGATTGATATCCCAGTCCGTTCAGGGCTTCTGTGATTAGGCTGTCTAATTTGGCATCCTCCATTTCTAGATCAGGGAGGGGGACCGGCAGGTTACCAGGACCAGAAAACAAGTTCAGCTTCAGCTGGTCATCCTTACTGTCTCCTTTAGTTTCAGTGTCAGATATGAGATCGCCATTTTTGTTGAGGCCCAACAGAGACAGGTGAAGGTCAGAAGGGCACCTCGACATTGAGACATTTGACACAGACGACACCGCTTTTGTGGCGTCAGCTTGAAACTTCCTGTTTTCCTCCATCTTTGATATGTCTTTTAGGTCATTTTGTGCAAACGGATGGTGACTGCAGTATTGCTTGTGGCCTAGAAATGAAGCCAGGTTATTGAAGTTCTGGTCGCACTGCTTGCATGTTAAGAGCACATCCAACTGGTCGAGATTCGCCGTGGCTAATGAGGTCGCTAACAGCTGATGTGCGGAGTACGGCGGCGGAGGCTGGTGATGCTCCACTCCAAAACTGTCCATGTAACCTTTGTTGCCATCCATGGCAGTCTTAGGAAGCGTGGTGTTTTGTAGGTAGCTCATAATGTTGTCTTTGGCTCTGTCCGGTGCATAGGTGTGGTTTCGCGGAGCGTCAGAATGAAACTGGTGAGAGGTCAGGTGATCTGACAGGATTTGTGTTTTGGGCTGGGACTGGTGATAAAACGAGTGAGGGGTCGCTGACTTTGACATGTGACTGTCCTCTGAGCTGATATCAACAGGACTGGTGGATGCTGGAGACAGGGAAGAACAGGTGCTGCTCGATGCAGGGTTATGAACCGGTGAGGGCAAAGGCGATTCATACGGTGACACCATCATGAGTCCCATTGGCGGGACCTGCAACGGAGAATAATTGTAGTTTCTTGAAGACGCAGCCGGAAGAGACTGGTTAACCCCGAAGAACACCGCCTTGCTTTTTGACTCACACACTTGTGCATGGCTCATCTCGACTTTAAACGTGGAGACAGTATTACCGCTGTGTTTGACACTCTCTTGTCTTTTGTTTGAAAACCCATCGCTAGTTCTACCGTTCAGGAAAGAGCTCGGGTTTTTGAGCGAGCTATGTTTAAGGGATTTACTATCATCCTGCCAGTCAGTGGGGGCAACCATGTAAGACAATTTTTGAGAACTCATTTGCCTCGATAACTCGATTATTTTTTGGTTTGGCATGGCGGGAGTCGGCCGAATCTGCTGCCAGGGCATTCGATTATTTTTAGAGGGATTTTGCCTTTGGTCAAGCGGCTGGGTCTGAAACTGAAACTTGTCATTCATGTCAGTATACTGCATTGTGTTTTGGTTGGCTGTTGTGTATGCCTTACTAGTCCCCTCCCATGAGTTTGGTAACCTATTTAGAACCTTATTATTGATGTTTTTGTCAAAGGTTATTGAGCCTGTGTGCATGTTACTGACTTGAGGGTTGTTAAATGATTTGTTAATAAAGTGCCCTTGGGAGGCGGGGCCTTGGGAAGTATTTCTTGCATGATGCACACTTCCTTGAATGAGTGTTCTTTGGCTGGCAGCTGTGTCTTTAGAGTGACAGTTCCTATTACTCCCAGAAGTGATTGCTGAATCCCTACTGTCTCCGTGACCAAAAGCTTCTGTGCTTTCAGGTGGGGCGGTCTGTCCCCGCTCTGACTGCTGTGAGCTGGTGCCCGAGCTGTCGCTGCTCGCTGAATCCTCGCTCAGATTCCTGGGACACTGTATGGCGGATGCGACCCCTTGAATGAACTGAGACGGCGGGGGTTGAGAGTAACAGCCTCTATCCTCTGGCTGCTGTTCGTTAATGAACTGAGAACTGTTCTGAGCAATGTTTTGACCTTCTCCGGACGTAAAGGAAAAAGAGTTGTGGGACACATGAACAGACGAGTCTGTAAAGTCTTGAGATTGGGTGTTTTGTTCACATGGAAAAGAGTCAGAGGTCGATTCTTCCAGGAAATTATATCCATATTGAAACTGAGCGGGCACAAATGCACTTGCCTTATTAGCTTCTGTAAGGGCAGTGGATTTTTGGGATGACACCCCATAGTTAGCACCGTTAAAAGTTTTTTCAGGAGACTGCCATGTGTTAGAGCCACTCAGCTGAAAGTCAGCAGGAATCAGCTGACTGCCCGGCTGTGCACTGTTGAGCTCCATGGATGCAGCCTGCTGCTGCTGTGACAGGGGTGGATGTGGATGGGTTGACGTTCCACTTGAGGAACCTAGCGCCTGTGAGGTATAGCTTGGGGAGGTGAGGTTAGAGGGGGCGTCTTGGAAGCACCGGCTATAGTTAAGCTCTTCTTGTTGGAGTTCGGCCTCCCTCTCTGGTATACTGGGAACGTGGAATCTGTAGCTGCCCGAAACTGGGCCGCGGCTGGTCTCCAATTTCTTGGGTGGCAAAACCTTCTGCTGTGGGTAGGCGATACCGATGTTGGGGTTGGAGCGTGGATTTGTAATGCTCAGTCTGTACAGCTGCTGGGGGTTGCCACGCTCTGTTTTTCCCGACCTCTTTCCCTTCTCCCGACTGCGGCCCTTTCCACTCGGGGACTGGGGGCTGCCTTTCCCACTCGACCAAGTCCTGTCACTGGAAAACTTTGATCGGTTCTGAAGTGACCTGAAGTCAATCTTCCCTGCCTGCTGCGGCCGTATGACAGCTTCTCGCTGCTGAGGACAGTCCCTTTGCTTCTCTACTTTTTCAGCTTTGGCCTCAACGCTGCTGGCTCTGGACTCAGTCCCTGTGCTTGCAAAGTGCTTTGAAGACTCCTTTGTGGCTTTGTCAGTCTGTGGTTCCGGCGCCGTCCCCACATCCTGCAGTTTGAACTCAGGGTCCAGCTCTTTGACAGCATGCAATTGCTGAGTCTCTCCTGCCATGGTGCACAACGCTTGCTGTGAAGGCCTTGTCCTCAGAAGTGCAATCTGGGAGACAAGGGCATCGTCTTCTTTGAGGAAGAATCAGTAAAGGTCCAGTGGCAGGAACTGCAGGGACACGGCTGCTCGCTGCAGGCTCATCTCTTCACTTTCATTGTGAACTGCTGATCTGGCACCAGAACAGAGCACACCTGCCAAGGGAAAGAGAAAAGAGAGGTTCAGATGACAAGCTTACTTTATCAATTAAAAAAAAATGTGATTATAATGTGTGCTTTTCAAACTCAAATGGGACAAAATGAATCATCAATGCTTGTACGCCATTATACAACACCATAAATTACCATAAACCCCCCAATTAAAAAAACCCCACTATTAACACTGTAAACACTGTTAATTCATTTATTCTGCTTTTTTAAGATAATAATGGCATTCAATTTGTGATCATTGTGTAAGTATTAGAGTAAAAAAGGTATGTTCAGAGGATACATTTAAAACTCATGAATAGGCACAATTTCAATATTCCAGTTTCTACCAGCAGAGAGCGCTAGTGCAACATTTCACAGTGGTGCTGTCACACTAAAAAGAACGAGTGAACTCAAAAGAGAGTTCTAAAACACTGCCAAACTCATACTCACTCATGGAAAATACTCCAAACAATTAACATCAACCTTCCTCACAACAATTAAAAGACACTCTAAAAAAAAAACGCAAATACAATTTAATCTGGGCATTGCAACAACTGACGACTAAAACATCACAGTCAAAATCCTGGACAAAAAACAACCCCACAAGAAACCAGTTTTGTTGAGGCTTACAACACTACAAGGAATGAGAAAAAATATAGTTTGTGGATCCAAAAAGGCACTGCCAGTAAATGAATCACAGACTTTTTTAAGAGCAGGGACACAATGCCACAGTGTTCTTTTGCTACATGGGGCTGCAGGTTTAGATCATGGAGGAATATCAGGGATTAGTCAGTGAGCTATTAAGACAGTGAGAACTGTGGGCACACGCTCGCTGCCTTCTCTTAGGCATCCCAGACACAGTTCCACTAGTCCCAGTTTTACTTTGGCCCTACTTGGCCCACTTCTTTTGATTTTGAGGTCAGAATGGACGAGACTGTAATTGGACTGAGTATGGCATATTATTTCACTTTACCAAATAATTTGCAGGCAAATTCAATGTTCTTTTTATGCTCTAGCTGTGTAAGTCAAAAATCTGCATGTTGCGGTCAGCCTTACAGCTCATAACCTCATATGAGAGGATTGAGGATGCATTATGTGTCCCAGCTGATGACATGCAGCCCCAAAGGGTAAATGTATTCAGTGTGCAGAGTCAGGGCACCCTCACAGGCTCAGGGCCTGAGGATGCAGAGATCAGATACGATTGTTTGGCCTGCGGCATTGCATCTTAAGGAGCTATGTTGACAACCACAAACCAGTAGCAAATGTGTCAAGATACCAAGTGACAAATGGAATAGTGAGGTAAGACTCTCTACCTTGTGTTTCCTTGTCTCATCCTCTGGTAAACCTCTCGGAGGTATTTAACAGGATGGGGAGGAGGCTGAAGGCTGAGACCTGGCTGAGTTGAGGCCTGGTTGTGAAAAATCACATCCCCTCTACAGCTCCAGAGAACCTGAAAGCCGGAGTGTCTGCAGCTACCTCTGCATGCACCAGTTGGGGAATCTGGTGTTAATGGCCCTGCCAGCATCTCCACCAGGAAGTGCTTGATCCAGTTTTCCCAGAGTCAACAGTCACAATCATACATTATAGACCCAGTTGTATTTGCCCAGACTGGCCGTTGAGGTATGAGGCTGCATGAGGATGAATGCCTTCGGGCAACTAAAGAAGAAATATGAGGATCACAGGGGCCTTACAGAAGTAGCACCAAAGCCTCAGCTGTCAGTTTACAAAGAGTAAGGGTTCATTTATATCCTAACAAATGCCTTGTCCACTTCCCCTTCAGCCCCGAGCAGCTCAATAACTTCTCCTTTGCACCAACCATCACATAAGCCCAGAATTACTACACACACAGATTTTATGAACATCAATCTGCCAATTTGGTGTTATCTTTGGTTTTCTGACTTATTCAGTTTTATCTTTCAAAGAATAAGTTGCTCTTGGACTGCACATAAAGACAGTGTGGTGGTGAGAGAATTGCAAGCTGGGCAAAAGTAGATATCAAATCCTGGGTGACTGGTCTATATTTTGTTCTATAAAAGTGTGTTTTAGTGGAGTTTTACAAGTCAATTAAGACAGCATGTGTGTGTGTGTGTGTGTGTGTGTGTGTGTGTGTGTGTGTGTGTGTGTACTTTGAGCCTCCTGTCAAATCACCAAGTTTCTAAAGCAGTGGTGCCCCATATAGCATCACCACAACACCACCCTGATGCCTGAGACTGCTGAGTGATGAAGAAATGGTGTGTTTGTGGTGTAGGTGCATGTGTGTGTGACTACCTAACTAGACCAAAACTGGAGAAAACTCAGAGGTGTTCATTATTTACAAGTGTTGGTTTCAGTGAGGAAAGGTGCTCGAATGAAAGTCAATTTCCTGAAAGTCTTTGTTTCCTGTCATTTCATGCAGGATGTATGTGGTGTTGGTTTGAGTGAAAATCTGCGTCCGCTCGTCGCTCGTGCCTTAAGCATTTAAATGCTACTGCAATTTTCTGTTTTCCAAGAGCCCTAAGTAAGCTCAGTTAACTTGAGAGACTACAGGCTCAGCATCTTTGCCTCTGAGCTATTCAACATGTTTGTTGATGTGTGTGCGCTGTAACGGGATAGCACCCAAAGGTGGCTAAAAGAAATGGTAAAAGCAGACTTTAGCAAAGGGTGGGCAATCGTAACACTTGTCAGATCTCGGACAATGACTCTCCAGAGATGCAACGCATTACTGGAGCCGAGGGAAGGGGCAGCAGCAGGCCGAGCAATCCATTTCTACAAACAATGGCTCCTTTTATAATAATGGCAATCATCAACTGGCATTAGGAGAAGCTTCCCAACTTGTTCAGTTTTTCCAGATGCCTTTTCCCTGAAATATCACCAAACAGTGGTCTCAAAGATCACTGAGACAGAAGACAGGAAAAGATGAGGAGAGATGAGATCAGAGGTGGTGGAGAGCAGAGGAGAGGAGAGGAGAGGAGTGGAGAGGCGAGGAGAGGAGAGGAGAGGAAGAGGAGGAGAGGAGAGGAGAGGAGAGGAGAGGAGAGGAGAGGAGTGGAGAGGCGAGGCGAGGAGAAGAGAGGAAGAGGAGGAGAGGAGAGGAGAGGAGAGGAGAGGAGAGGAGAGGAGTGGAGAGGCGAGGCGAGGAGAGGAGAGGAAGAGGAGAGGAGAGGAGAGGAGAGGAGGGGAGGGGAGGGAGGGAGAGGAGAGGAGGGAGAGGAGAGGAGAGGAGAGGAGGGGGGGGATCAGGTGGCAGAAAGAAAAAGCAGTCTGACTGCTCTCCTCACACCTCTCCCAGCGTGACCGGTCCAGCAGAGGGGAATGCAGTGAGAACGGCTGGCCCAGTCCCACGCTGGGGCGCGCCGCCAAAACCTCAGTCAGCGTGCCTGCTACTCTTCTGTATTTTTAGAAACATCCATTATGCAAGCAATTTGCCTTTAAGATCCCTGCGTCCATTCAAAGGCACACATAGGAGGAGAGATATGTTGAGTAATGTGAGGAGGGCCCTGCCATGCTTTCACAACTTCACCACCACACAGTAATAAGAGTAATAACAAACACTGCTCTAAATGTGGAAGTGTTAACAGCAGTGGCCAGTCAGCGGTTTACAGTTCTTTTTCAATTTATGATTTACACAGAAAAGATTAATGATTCATTTTTATGCTGATAATATTTTGTGAAAAGGAGAGATTTAAAGATGCAGGAGAACTTCAAATGAAACACAGTACTGAAAGAGGCTCGTTATAGTCGTGCCTTCCTATACCTCCACCAACCCCCCCTAAACTCCGCCCCCTTTACCCAATGTGGTTAGCTGCACAGTGGGGATGATGGAAGGAGTGTATGTGTGTGGTGTGTGTCTGAGTGTCTCAGAATGTGCATGAATGTGTGTGTGTGTGTAGAAGGGGGGTTTTGGTGTGTAATTCCAGAGGCTACCCATAACCCCCCCCCCCCAAGTTTTTCCTCTTTCGCAGACGAGTTTAAACTTTTATTTATTTATTTTCTAACCACTGGATTTTGGACTCAGCCTGTTTCCATATTGCTTACCACTGCATTCCACAAACATGATGGAATCTCAGCTCGAGAGTGTTTAAAGGTTATTTTTTCCCTTTTTTCTCCATGCAGGTCAACGGAACATTACCTGTGTGGCTTTGCACACAAACGAGGTTAAGTGTGATAGACTGAATAATGACGGAGCATTACAGGATATTACAAAAAAAAAAAAAAAGGGCAAGCTAGACAAAATGTTCCTGCGTCCTACTTCTAACCATGATAACCTGATCCTTAATGGACAAAATCTGACTTTGGGGGTTTGATTCCCCCTGCATTCCTTTTTTTCAGCATATCAATATTTGCTTGTCCCCACGTCTGCCTCGGCCAAAGTATCTGGTAGCCTTTCAAAATCAGCAGAGATTTATTAAATGGATGGAATAGGACATTGCATTCATTAACGACGGCCCTCTGTGACCCCAAACTTCACTGTCGTTTCCACGTCTGAGGCTAGACGTACTTTCAATGTTCCAATGAGACCTAACCAAGACGTGGTTTATGCGCACACTTGGAAACATCGCCTCAGAAAAAAAGCTCACACTTTCTGGCTACAAATATAAAGATAATACGAAGGTAAGAGGAACTTGATTAATGTTTTCTTTCCAAACCACGCTCCTTAAGAGGCATCCTGAAGTTTCAGTTGTTGAACAAAGGAGTGCCATTTTTAATCTGGGGGAAAATATTGAATCTTGATGTGGTGGACAGACCCCCCACACACACACATAAACAAGAGGTGAAGGGTGACACACTGAAGTCTTCTGTTCAATAGTATCTGCCACACACTGCAGCTAAATTACACAT